ACGTGCAGACGCATCTAGTTAAAAGTCCCTTTTCCAACTAGTAATCTAGATGGCAACTAGTCGTGTATCGCCCGATTACAGACGAAATGTATCTAGATTTTTCCCATAGGTGATATTTGCTTGGGTATTCGAAATGCGACTTAAATGAGACATTTTCAGTATCTTCCCCCCTCCGACTTCAACATCCTAAAATAGGTCGCTGTTTTTTTACAGTGTTGAGTTGCATGATAAATCAGCCTGATTAAAACATCATCTTTTTGTCTCGATAGTCTTTTCTTGCTGAATAGTATGCACGAGACCGGTCTGATTTGTGAACATGTGCAATTACATAATGTCGAGATGTTCAAATATTCAGATATTCAGATGTTACGATCTTCAGTTCTTCAGATATCTAGATGCACAGATCTTTAAGTATCTTCCTGTTTTCGTTCACGCTGACTACTATCAGGCAGGGCCTCACTCGCATCTTTCGTGCTTTTCTACTTTGTCAGAAAAATACACATTTTGAATAAATGCTAAAAAACCAAGTATTCGCCTTTTCTTTCGCCATGATTGTATGTCGATTTGTTTTCTTCAGTTTTGGAGATCGGTCTGAGTATCTAATAATCTTTCCCAAAAAAATCATCAGTTTTTTTTCAAAAATCATAATTTGTGAAAATCGAAGCCTACTGGTATGCATCGAAAGTACTTGTACTTCGAAATGTTATAAAGGGTAAAGAGGTTATTATTATTTATTTTTGACTCTTTTCTAAGCGTCTCCAGGAGTCATCTATGGCAAGAATTTTAAATTTCGATTAGATTAGAACGTTTTTCATTAGAATATCTCCGATGAAATTATCTATTGGAGTACGTAGTTTTCAGATCTACTACCGGTCGTCAGGATAAAGAAAAATGGCCTAAGCTTTTCTCCACAGGAGGAAACATGTTATATTCACTATAAATTCTCGTTTGTGTTTAACAAAACTCACAGTATATGAATTGTCTAGCTTAGAATCTTAGCTATCTTAATCACGCTTTAGATCTCTTCAAATGTTTACATTTAAAAAGAAAATCGAAACGACCTTAACTTTTATTATTGATAGTAGTCATAATCCAACGAAAAAGCTATATGTTAAATAAAAGCTCTCCGTCATATCCAGTCAAGTTCACAATGTAATATGTGATACAAATCTTTTAAAAAGCTTTCCGATAAAATATTATTGTTTACATAGCAAACATCGTTCAGTGTTTGCTATAAATGGTATTTAATTTTAGTTCCGTAAATTTATTGCTTCATTAAACTTTGACGGTGGAAAATAGGCCTTTTATAGAATTACAAAACTATTTATAAGTTATTGATTAGCTCTTGGATGAAATAATCTTTTGAAAAAAGCTTTGGATGAAATAAAAAGCCAATCGTTACTATAAATTCCGCGTAGAATCGCTCGACACTATAAAAAATCATATTCACTTCATAGATGAAGCAGTTAGAAATTTACCTCATAGTGATAATCAGGAGGCTTTCTAATGAGATGAGTTCAATTACTGTCTTTATGAAGTATCTACATGTTTTAGTGTACACAGTCCTGTTATAGGAATTTATTTTCAGTTTTGTTCTAGGTATAAAAATGCACATGATCCTAATCAACAGATCGCAGATCCTCCAGCACAATGCCGTCAACTAATGCAAATGCTTGACGCATTTACCGAACGTGCAAGAGGACAGTTAGCGAAGATTTCTAATAAAGAATTAGCTGAGAAACAATCAAACATGAAAGTACCATTATTGGGACAAGCAGCTTACCTTCCAAAAAAAAAAAAAACCTTATTCTCGTTCAAAAAGAAAACCAAGAATAAACGTTCTGTCGACAAGATACCAACATCACTCTTTAATTCACTTAATGCAACAGAAATCAGTACAACAGTTAAAGATACTCTCAAACACGAACAAAAACTATTCACAATGTAAGTTAGAGAATAGCTTTTGATCAAAAGACTATTCTTGAACTGGGTATCTTGTTATTTCTTTTTTAGACAACACACTGATCCAGCAATTTCAACATCAGCCACGACAACAGCAGGAACCGTTCGAATTACAGCAGCCATCATGAAAATAGATCCGATTTATCGCATAATTAATAAAACAATGATGGAATTAGGCAATGATGATTTAAAAGATGAATTAAATAATCATCAGCGTTTAATGCAGCAATTAAATATTACAACAGAGTACGTATTACTTATGCTCCTATATTGTTAGGATACATAACTAGACTATTGTTTTCAGTTGGATTTATCCAACATTCATTAATAGTGGAGAACGCAGTTTAATTATATCAAAACGTACTGAAGTCCAAAATGTACCAGGTGATATTATTGTAGCTTCAATAATGAGCACTTCTATAACAGTTCGTGAGGATGATGTGTTAGAGACTATTTCACGATCAATTGCTAAATTTTGTCAACAATATGATATAATTAAACGATTAAGAGCAAATGAAAGAGCATTTAAAAAATATGCACTGCAATTTGAAACACGACAAGGAAATCGACTTCGTATTAAAAACTCGGCACATCGTAAAACATTTATGGATTTAGAGGAAGCCATTTATGAACTGGAAATTACCTATAAACAACTGAGAGAAAATTATCGTTTCGCAAGGAATTTTTTGATGAATTTAGGTATGTTAGTACAATTATAACTCTCATCTCACCCACAGCAGATATTTTTCACTTGAAAGGTAGACATCAAGTTTTTTACCATTAAAAATGATCATTCTGACTTGGAATGACTCTCTACATCTGAAAATAGTATTTTCGCAACAAACAAGCATAATTACGAAACGTTTAGGTTTGGACCCCACTATAAAAAGCAAGTGACCCTAGGCGCGTGTAGTTTTACACAGTGTAGATTGCGACTCTTCGCGAAATTTTTTAATGGAGAAACTAGACCATGCGCTGCAACTGATTCTGACTATGCCATTTTTCTACTAAATATCCACTTGGATGCTGGACACAGAGGGCATTTGTGAAATATGACGTTATCCGCGACCACCTCAAAGCTTTTTAAAATTAAAATTGAATTCTGTCATTCGATAGAGTTCGATGAGCTGAGTGTACGACCGTCCACAATCACTCACTTAATGCGATGCTGATAACGAACGAAATATACCACAACAATCTCCATAAAATTCTCTATATATGACACTGCTGATATTTCAGCATAACAGTCAGGCAGAACGGTTGATTATAGAAAAAAAATCTTTTATCAGATAATAAGTCCTATAGAAAGTCTTTAAGGCCAGAAACATAAATTTTTTTATTAAAAGTCGATATTGAGCGAAGCACATCATCAGATAGCCCACAGTATCTACTATCAGCCCTAGACAAATTTTTTTTGAAATTTCTGATAAGAATCTTATCCGATTCTTATCAGATTCGTATATAAGAAGTGGCACGAAAGTTGCACGAATTTCGTAAGAATCAGATAAGAATCGAGTAAGAAT